CAAAACTAGGGGTTACGATCATTATTCCCAAGATCTCGCATGTGCCATCTATGGAGTTATCGGCTCCATAAATATCCATTGGGGGAAAATCATTTTCGACTTCATGGCCTCCAACAACACTAAATTCCTTCCCTACGAGGCCATTCTCACTACTATATTTAAACACTTTGATATCGATCTTTCCGACAAACCCTCCATTAAAATTAAACCATTTATTGACGCTGCCGCTCTAAATCGTATGGGTATTCCGGCTACCCAGTTCGCTCTTGAGAGGCATCCCTCTCCAGAGCCTCCTTCAGAGCCTGTAGCATCTGCTGATTCTTCATCATCATTTGATACTTCATATAGGCCTCCTCGCCTTTCCCCATATGCTTCATATCCTTTGCCCGAGTTCATGACTGGGGTACATGAGTGATTGGGTGGCATTGAGCACCGTCAGGAGGAGCTGGTGGGCAGAGTAGATGGCTTGGGGCGTCAAGTTGAGGGCTTGGGGAACCAGCTTGCTGAGATCCTCACCATTCTGAAGCCATCATAGGATCCAGGGCCTTCATCTACATGATGTAGATTGTTATCACTTCTATGCATCTTGTTTATGCTTTTGAAAAATATTATTTGGTTTATGTAGTCTGTTTTTCAGCTTGGTTTGTAATTGAACATATATGAGTTGTTGCAAACTCATCATTTTGGCTATATATATATATTTCATGTTCATTTCTGATGCCTATGGATACATGTGTGGATGTGGTTGTGAACTATATTTGTTCTTAATGTACTATGTTTTCACAATCCTTATCTGCTTATATATTGTGGCTAACCATTCGTACAGGCTTTTTAATAGGGGAGAATCTCTATATTTTTTATACTCACCCATGCTTATAGGCAGGGGGAGCTTTCGCTCTCTTTATTCTTGTTTTCCCCTTTTTGATGTTGTCAAAGGGGGAGAAATATTGTGAGTATACATTCCTTTGTTTATATGCATAAGATTTATAATTTATATATTCATTTCCTTTCATGCACATATTTTTTTGTAAATTGTTTGTCATTATAAAAAAGGGGGAGATTGTTGGCCTTCTTGTTTTGATGATGTTCAACAAACAATTTATAACTAATGTTGTTTGTCTAGTGGTTGGGTTTTTGTATTTATTCCAGGCAAACAACGAGTTAGAGATTGGATGGAATTGCGCTTCAACGGTCATATCCAATGGAGGATGGAGGTATAGTAGAGTGAAGCAATGTAATTCAAGTCAAGATCCCAGTCAAGCTTCAATGAAGATCAAGATTGCTTGGGTATACTCAGTACAGGATAATATTGTGTATGTTGATTCTATAAGCTCAAGATTGCACACACACTTCATTTGTGAATTTTTATTAAAATAGGTGTTTTTTATGCAAATTACATTCAAATATGTTTTGGACTATATCAACCATGTTAACATCATTTGTTAAGTCCCAAATTACATTCAAATATGTTTTGGACTATATCAACCATGTTAACATCATTTGTTAAGTCCATAAAAAGTTTACACAAGTTTTCAAAATGTTAACATCATTTGTTAAGTCCATAAAAAGTTTACACAAGTTTTCAAAACCTGATTTGATCTAAAATGGTAAAAACAACATGTTTGAAATACATGTATTTTAGAATTGTTGAATTTTCCTGTGTTTTCACAAATGGTAAGAGCTATTTAAATAATTCTTTTTCCAACATGTTCATATTCATGTTTATAAACTTTTCCCAAAGTTTTATACTTTTTGGAATTTATTTGCTATTTTTAACAGAGCCTTGAAACTCAACTTAAAAATCATTTCAGGCTGATAACCTATTATTAGTCGACTGATCAGTCGACTGATGAAGTCAGTCAACTGATCAGTCGACTGAAGAAAATGCCTGGAATGTTCATTTTGCTCTCTGTTGTGTTTCCATCGATTGACATTGTCAGTCGATTGAAAATATTTTTCAGTCGACTGGTAATCTTGAATTTGAATACAACGTTCAGCTTATTAGTCGACTGATGCTTCCCGTCAGTCGACTGATGCTTCCCATCAGTCGACCGACAGGTTGTCGAACGGTTAGTTTTGTACAGAATCTGTTTCTTGGTTTTTGAGAGATTTTGCTGCTTTTCTTAGGGTTTTGGCTGTTGTTTTCTCTTCCTATATAAACCCCTTTCTTTCTCATCAGCAATATAACTTGAAGTGGGTTTTAACAAGAGTTTAAAAAGAGTTTTAAAGTTTGTTCAAGTGCTTAAGTTTATGTTTACAAAGAGGTGGCTTGATCTTTCAATTGGGGAATTGATCCTCAATCATCTCCAACCTCTATTGTGTTTAATAAAGAAGTTTCTCTAACTCTATTCTCTAGCAATTTGTTTTGCTTTTCATATATCATTATTGTTAGTTTGTAAATTGAGTTTGATTTTGTTTATACTCATTTTATCACACACACACACCTTATTTGAGCTTGTAGGATTTCATACATCATATTGGGTTGTGAGATTGTGATTTGTGAGATTGAGCCTACCATACATCATATTGGGTTGTGAGATTGTGATTTGTGAGATTGAGCCTACATTGAGTTCTCATTCATGTTAGAGAACATTTTATTGTAATTGTTGTGAGATTGAGCCTACATTGAGTTCTCATTCATGTTAGAGAACATTTTATTGTAATTGAGCTTTTTTTTATGAGTTGCACATTGTACTACACTTGGACACCGAGAGAAGTGGTTGGTGAGAGACGAGGTCAGTTTCGAGAGGAGTGACGTCGGTAGTAAAGTCTAGAGGTAGGTTGTAATTCTAAGCACTTGAGGAAGGTGACACGGGCTAGGCCAACACTTAGAGGGTGTGAAGTGTATTGCTAGTGTGTAAGTTGTGAAGTTTTGGGTCAACTAGGAAACCGTATTGTGAGGTGTAAGCGTTATTCGGGTAAGCGTAGAAAACCAGGTTGTGATAGTTGAGATCTCCTCGAGGTGAGGAGTGGAAACGTAGGTCGTGGGAACTGAACTCCGTGATCATATCGTTTGTTTGCAGTTGTCTATTTGTTCACTATCACTCTTGTTTATATATCATTGTATATATCTCATAGTATATCTCATTGCTAGGATATTGCTCCTTGTTTATATTGCTCATTATTGCTCATAATATTTTTGTATATCTATCTTGTAAAAATTATTTGTTAATAAATTTTATATTGGCATTATATCGGATTAGATTAGCATAAGTCCCTAATCACACATCCTCTAGGGTCTAACATTTAGACTGGATGGAAACGAACAAGGAGTATCTTGAAGCTAGACTTCTAACCTATAATGAGTTTCCTACGAAGTTTGTAATGAAAAGTAAACTTCATAAATGAAATCAAGGAAGCGCGGATTTTCAATTGGAAGACTCTATTATTTACCTCCAAGTTGTGGTGAACTGTACCATTTGAGAATTTTACTCAACAAAGTTTGGGGTCGACCTAAATGCTATGAAGATATTCAGACAGTTAATGGCATTGTCTATCCCACGTTCAAAGAAACTTGATATGCTTTGGGTTTAATTGATGATGCCAAGGAACATTGACGGGATTATAGAAGCATCCTTCTGGGGTTCGGGATAACTTTTAAGAAGTTTATTTGCAACTTTGCTAATGTCGAATCTTTATCGAGACATGCATTTGTATGGGAGAAGACATGACACTTAATTGCAGAAGATATCCTATATAGGCAAAGAAAATTGCTGCAGTATAGAGGTAACCTTTTTCAGCTTAATTTTTTCCCCTTTCACTTATCAGTATGCAATAACATGTGTTATATCTTATTTTATTGAATGTTTATTACAATCGTATTATCTCATAGTGTTTCAGTTAATTTCCTCATTGTTATTGAAGCTTTTTTGGCAATGTTATGTCTCTAAAATGCTTATTCTATTCTTCCATTGCTGTTTTATAAGTTTAATATTCTTGCTTTTATAAGTTAAATATTCTTGCTTTTTATTATTTATTATTTTTGCCTTTTCTTGGAACTTTAAAAATATTATTTAGTCATATGTTATAAGTCTCTTTTTAATTTGTTTCTTCTTACTTATCAGATTTGCAACTAAATGATGATCAATTAAAGAATTTAGCTCTTGCAGAAATGAAAAAGATTTTGCGAGGAAATAACAAGACTTTGGCTGACTATTCTCCACTTCCAATTCCAGAATGTGTCAATCTCTCCGATTTTCAGAACAAGCTCATCCAAGATGAGTTAAACTACGATAAGGAGTCTCTAGCAATAAAACATAATAAACTTCTAAGTAGCATGACTGATGAATAGAGACGTGTTTGACACTCTTATAAATGTTGTTTTACCGGGATTATGGTGGAGTTTTTTTCCTTTATGGATATAGTGGTACTGGAAAAACACACATATGGAGAACATTGATTCCTGGCTTGCATTCAAAAGGTGACATTGTACGTCCTGTAGATTCAAGTGGTATTGCTTCACTTCTATTGCCTGGTGGACGAACTGCTCACTCCAGATTTTGTATTCCATTGTCTACTAGTCGTGAACACAGTGCAAAGCACGACATATCATTTTTTCCCGCTACAGTAATCCCGGTTTTTAAAATGCTACAGTAATGTTTTTTTAAATTTTTAGGGTAGCTACAGTTCCCGCCTCTGCTACATATTTTTAAAAAATGCTACAGTATTCCCATGTGCTACAGTAATATTTTTCAAAAAATGATATAGTACACAGTTCCTGTCACTATAGTAATACTGCTACAGTAAATGCTACTATAGCATGAATGGTGAATATAGGGTTCTCCCATTTGTATAGAGGAGTAGATAACTAAAGAGTCAACATGCAACATAAAAGCAAGGTAGCCTCTGGCTAAGCTGTTAAGTAAAACTAAGCTCATCATCTGGGACGAAACACCTATGGTCCATAGGTTTTGTTTTGAAGCTCTTGACAGAACTTTAAGAGATGTCCTTAGATTTTCAAATCCTAATAGTTTAAATCAACTTTTTTGGGGAAAGTAATTATGTTCGGAGGAGATTTTAGGCAAATATTGTCAGTGATTCCTGAAGGTAGCAGGGCTGATATTGTGCTTGCCACAATAAACAGTTCGTATTTGTGGGACAATTGTCAAGTTTTGACTCTTTATCAAAATATAAGGTTACAATCAGGATCTTCAAACAATGAAGTTTTAGAATTGAGAGAATTTTCGGAATGGTTATTAAGTATTAGTGATGGTAGAGTTAGTGAGCCTAATGATGGAGAAGCATTGATCGAAGTGCCAAATAATCTACTCATCAAAGATTTTACTAATTCACTTGCTGCTGTCATTGAGAGTACATATCTGGACCTATTAGATAATATGTTGGATGTGAATTACCTTCAAAATATATCTATCCTTGCCCCAATACTTAAATTGTTGAAATGGTTAATGATTACGTCTTTTTATTTAATTCAAGAAAAGAAAGAGTGTACTTGAGTTTTGATAGTGTTTGTGATGCTCATGGAGATGTTGATTGCCAAGAAAATTTACACACTTCGGATTTCCTCAATAGTATTCGGTGCTCTAGGATACCTAACCACAAGTTGAAATTCAAGGTTGGAGTTCCTATGATGTTACTGAGGAACATAGATTAGTCATCTGGTTTATGCAATGAGACAAGGCTAATTACCACTCAATTGGGCAACCATGTCATCGAAGCAAAAGTTATATCAGGCAACAATATTGGATTGAGAGTTTTTATTTCGTGGATTGTTATGACTCTATTTGATTCAAGATGGCCCTTCATGCTGCAAAAAAGACAATATCCTTTAACAACTTCTTTTGCTATGACAATAAACAAAAGTCATGGTTAATCTCATTCTAATGTCGGACTATACCTTCCAAGGCTTGTATTCAGTCATGGCTAATTTTATGTGGTCATCTCTAGAGTTAGAAGCAAGAAGGGTTTGAGAATTTTGATCCATGAAAAGGATAGTTAGGTTGCAAACATGACGGAAAATGTTGTCTTTAAGGAAATATTTCATAATGTAGGATAGTTAATTCTCAAAAAACTTGGCGATTTAGATCTGCTACAGTTATTGCATTGCATTGTGGTTACTTTTTTCAAATTTTTGTGGAAAAAATGGAACATGTTATAGTTTTCTGATATTTAAATGATTCAAGTAGTTTATCTTGCTTAGGTTAATATGTTTTCCTATATTGATGATTGCATGATTGATATTCATATTTACTTGAGATTATTGTACTTCTATAAGTTATTCCTTTTCTATGCGGATTTCTCACAACATTTTTTCGTAAGGTACTTTCTATGTACAATGCAATTTGTCTATTTAAATGTCAAATTTATCATCATAGAAGTATTTATATTGATAAGTAGATTGAAGATAGCACGAAAGCTGGATTTTATTTCTGACATCAATCTAGACAAAGAAACTTAGAAACTGATGGTAAGAGTCATAAGGCTATGGAATGCGATGAACTTTAATAATCCAAATATAGTCAACACTATTGAAATGCTTCTATTGGATGAAAATGTAATATTCCTTACTCTTTCACAATATGTTTTAGACTTTACTTATTATTTTCCTCTTAAAATTTTGATGATATAAATCATTCAAGATTACACATCCAATAATTCTCTTTAATTTGGTTGATGAAAGGGAGCCAAAATTCAAGCAACAATCAAGAACAAATTGATAGACAAGTTCAAATCACAATTGAAAGAAGGAAAATGTTATTTGGTTATGAATTTTGATGTCGGAGAAAATACTAGAAATTATAGAGCTGCTGACCATGCATATAGAGTTACCTTCCTCTACTCTATATCTGTTAAAGAATGTGAGAGTTCCACAATTCCTTCTTATTCATTTGGGTTAGTTGATTTTGAAGATATAATTACAAATTGTGTCACATCAACTACCTTAATAAGTAAGATCAAAAGTGTGACGATTTGGAAATTGTTTATGTTTTGCTTCTTGTCTTCTTTTTTATTGCAACAATGTTGTTTTAAACATTTTTGACATTAAGGTTTTGTTTATTTTATAAAAATTTTTTGCAGATATCATTGGAGAGCTTATTACCATTGGAAATGTGAAAGAAGTTGAGAGCAATGGAAACAAGAGAAAGTTATTACAACTTGAACTCCAAGACAACAAGTAAGTTCAAATGTGTACAATATAGTTGCATATTTTTCTATAATAAAAGTATGCATGTATATACATTCATTTCATACTAAAATTTGTTCTTCATACAACAACATTAAATTACAATGCAGCCTATGGGGCAATTATGCTGACCAAGTTTTAAGCTATGTGAAGAATGCTAACTCAGGAGTTGTTATCATGGTGATTCATCTTACCAAGATAAAACTATATGGAGGTAAATTAAATTAGCTGTATATTAATTTCATCAACAAAAGACGCGCGCACACACACATATACATTCTATAAATTTGGGATTTATTAATAGAATTCATGAAGCTAAAACCTTATTTCCTTAGGTAAACTTACCATTACAAATGCCTTATATGCGTCCAAGATATTAATCAATCCAGACATACCCGAGGTTACTGATCTAAAAAGAAGGTAGATGATGAATTACTATATTTATTATTTATTTACAAGTAATTTGATATTATTGTTGATTAATTAAATTTGATTTATAAGCCTGAAACTTGTTGAAGATTCTTCGTCTCAAAAATTTAGTCACATTCCAACTGAAAAAGCTTATTCAATTGAGGATGATTTTCTATTAGTAACCGAATGGAAGATGCTGCATGAAATTCAAGAGGCACATGAGGTAATTATTTCAAAGGAATGATTTTATGAGTATTATACTGCTTATTTACAATTAGTACCAAACTAGGTAATTGATCAAGAGGCACTTGATAATTTGTTTCCAATATATTCATAATTTTATTTTTATTCCTATTTGATAATAGCTAGGTTTGCACATGTGTGACATTAGCAACTATAGAGAAAATTCGAACAGATTATAATTGGTTTTACAATGCCTGCAACAAATGTAAAAAGAAGGTAAATGCTGAAAATGGTAAATTTCATTGTGACAATTGCAATGAGGATGCGAGATTTGTTACCCCAAGGCATGTGCAAAAATATGTATGTGAGTTCCATTTCAACGATTTCTTATTTCATGATATGGTTTATAGATGGATGTTTGAATTTTCAATGACATTTTAATTTACTGTTCTTATTGGTTTATTTTAATTTTTGAGTTTCATCAGATACAAGGTTCACGTATTAGTCATTGACCATATAAGTACTGCATAATTTATCCTGTTTGATCATGAGGCTAAACAAATTATTCACAAAACTACGATCGAATTAAGAGAACGATTGATAAAAGTAATCACTATGATTTTTTATTATAAATTATAAGTTTCGATTAAGTAACTATACTTTGTGTTTTTACATTATTCACAGGAAGGTGATGATGATTCATTTCCTCAAGAATTAGATCTCTTCGTGAAAAAGAAACTTCTGTTCTGTTGGCCTTTTTGTTTTGATGATGTTTAACAAACAATTTACCACTAATATTATTTATCTAGTATTTGTGTTTTCTTATTTATTATAGACAAACAACGTAGTTGGAGGATGGATGGAATCGAGCCTTAACGATCATATCAAATGGAGGTTGGCGGAATTGTGGAGTGAAGCAACGTCAATTCAAGTTAAAGATCCAATTACAAGCTTCTTCCGCAAAGTTTACCAAGTCATGCTCATTAAAGACCTTCATTAAGCTTGGGTATATTTAGTATAGGTTTATATTATGTGTGTTTAATACTCTAAGCTCAATATCATATACACACACAATATTGGATTTTCTCACAAAATGAGCTATTTTGAGAAAACTTTGTGATATTGTTTTATTAATCATGTTTACTTTATATTCATGTGTTATAATGTTTATGAAGACATTTCATAAAGTTTCAATATGCGTTTAAACTCTTTTGTCAAAAACATGTTCTTAACAAATTCATATTCATGCATGTTTTTACAAAATAATGAGTTTTCACAATTGAGAAATGAAAATTGAAAATTTATTTTTGTAACATGTTTGTTTTCATGTTTATAAACATTTTGTAAAGTTTCATCAAGTTTGGAATTGATGTGTTATGTTTAATGGAATTTACAAAATCATGTTTTTGTTTGTGCACATGTTCGTGCATGTTTTACAAAACAGATGAGTTTCTATAAATGGGAAGTGATATTTAAGAAATTCTTTCTTTGACATGTTTATCTACATGTTTAGAAACTTTTCTCAAAATTTTACTATTTGTGGAGTTGATTTACTGTGCCCAATTGATTTTACAAAATCGCATATGTCAGCAGTTTTTCAGAAACTGTAAATCTATGTTCAAACATTTATTTATCTCAACTGGGAAATGATTTTTCATAAATTCTTTCTCTAACATGTTATTCTACATGTCTATAACCTTTCCACAAAATTTCATATTTTTTGGATCTGTTTTACTATTTTTAATTGATTTTACAAAACTGAAATACTGTGTACAGTGCCAGGTTTTTGGCTGAGTTGAGAGAGGGTATAAGTACCCCATTGCCTTCAACTCTCAAACTAACCAAGAGGGTTTTTAATCAAGTTTAATAAAGTTTTTAACAAGGGTTTTAGTTTGGTTTAAGTGTGTTTAAAAAGCTTTTAAGCAAATTGAGAGTTTGTTTTTGTGATTCAATTCTACAAGAGCTTGAGGAGATCATCTATTGGTGTTTGGGCATCCAACTCTTCTCCCTCCACTCTTGATATATTGAGAAGTTTTCTAAACTCTATTTCTAGCTTTTTTATATATTTGATTATCATTGTTATTAAGCTAGAACTACATTGAGTTTAGTTTTGATTTATATCTCTTTGTTCACACACAACCTTTTGAGCTTATTGTATTTACATTCATAGTATAATTTGGGGTTGTGGGTTTGTGACTAAGAGTTGTGCTTAATTGAGTTCTCACCTTGTTTTGAGAACAATCATTTGTCATATTTGTGCTTATTGTGAGAATCACTTTGTAATACACTTGTACACCGAGTGAGGAGTGTGTGGTGAGAGTCGGGGATCGTCCCAAGAGGAGTGGCGTCGGTTGACGTGCCTAGGGAGAGGTTGTAACCGAGCACTTGAGGGAGACACGGCTAGGTCCAACACTTAGTGGGTGTAGAGTGTGATTGCAAGAGTGTGAGTTGTAGAGTTTTCGGTTAGCTAGAAAACCGAGTGTGTAGAAGAAGTTCCGGCTTCCAAACCGGATTGTGTTAGTGGATTTCTCCCCGGGAGTGGGGAGCGGAGACGTAGGACGGAAGGTCCGAACTCCGTGATCATATAGTGTGTTTGAGTGTGCTTTGGCGTTCATTTATATTTATGTTCATATCTTATATCGCCATTGTCCATAGCTCATTATTTATATGATCCACTATCTAGTTCATATTGTTTACCCCTTGTGTTAGTTTATATATCCTTGCATATATATATATAATTCATCATATAGGATATTTATATATCCTTGCTCATATACTCATATATATTTCATCATATAGGATATATCACTTTGTGTATATTGCTTATTCTTGTTTATAACTCTTGTATATCTATCTTGCAAGAATACAACTTGTTAATTAATTTTAATTGGCATTTAATCGGATTAGATTAGCATAAGACCCTAATCACCCCCCCTCTAGGGTCTAACAATTGGTATCAGAGCTTGGTGCTCTTTGATTTAAGGTCTAATCGCCTTGAGTTAAAGATCCAAGTTAGCTTATTGTGCTAATCTAATTTTAAGCTTTATTTGTATCTTATATTGCTCCTAGATTAGATAATTTCCCCTATGCCCAATGGTGTGTTAGATTTAAACTATTTGTTAGATCTAAACATTTTGATTTATGGGAAATTATAGATGATGCTTATATTGTGCCCACTTTGGAGAAATCCAAATGGAATAAGAATGATCATCGTATGTTTACAATGAACAATATTTTGTTAGAATATTTGCTAAATGCTTTTAATTCATCTATGTCTAACAAGTTTGTTCATTTTGATAGTGCTTAGAAACTTTGGAAATTTATAGAAGCACATCAAGGGGACTTGGAGACGATCCAACAAGCTTTGGAGGATCCCGCCTCAAGTTCATATGGAGCTTCATGCACACGAGCACTAGGCGATAGCCCTAGTGAGGTTTGCGAGTTCGAAACCATTAATGATTTACCTAATGATGAACTTGCTTGTGCTAGTGAAAAATTGTTGCATGCCTTTAACAAATTGCATAAAGATTTTGTTGATTTACAATGCAAGCATGATAATTTAAAATCCGATCATGAGAAGCTAGTGTCCAAATTTGATGTCATTGAAAATGAAAATATTATGCTTAAAGAAAGCAATGACTTATTAAATTTGGAAAATAAAAATTTGATCTCATCTATTGCTAGCCTATCTCATGCTAAGATTGATGCCATGTTAGAAGTAGAGAACATAAAGAATGATACAGCTTCTTTTATAAATAACTATTTATGTTCTACTTCTAAAAGTGCATATGTGCCTAAAAATGAAGATTTGAATCTTATGAATAAAAGCATTTCATCTTTAGATTCAACTTTGAAAACATGCATTAATAATCATAAGAGGCTTATGGATATGTGTGCCAAGTCTAAGTCATCATCTACTCATAATGCACACATATATAGCAAAATTTACAAATGCTCTATTTGCGGCAGAAAGGGTCATTTATCTAAATTTTGCTATGATGCACACAAACATAAGAATTCTAATACTCCTTGTGCCTCTCATGTAGCTTCTTCATCTTTTACACTTACACATTCACATGCTCATTCTCACAAAGTTCATCATAAGCATGCTAGTGTGTTCAAGTGTGATCATTGTGGTCGTTTTGGTCATTTGGCCGAATATTGTTTTGATTTGAAAAAGAAATCTCATTTGCCAAATATTTCTAGTAGACCACAAGTTTTTAAATGTGATGTTTGTGATAGATTTGGCCATTTGGCGAAGTTTTGTTATGATTTGAAAAAATATTCAAACTTGCCAAATTTCTCAAGTAAACCACCTTTGTTTAATGATGCTTCTCATCTGCGATAAAATTTAAAAGAAAAATCTTTATTTGTAAATGATTCACGTGCACGAGCAAATGGTCCACAAAAACAAATGGATCTCTTTCATTGCACAAATTACAATCAGAAGGCTCATTTGAGTGAATATTGCTTTGACCGTGTTAGTGCACCACATGTGCCCAAGAGGGTTCATAACCCTAGGGCTTTGAGCTTTAATGATAGGAGTCATGTCCCTAAACTTTTTGGTACCAACATTACTTGGGTACCAAAACAAATTTGATTTTAAACCAAGAATTTTAGCATTTTTATTTTTCTTTGTCTTGGTTTTGAAAATTATGCTTTGAAATCCTTTTATATGAAAAAAACTTTTAATTGATAAATTTTTTTTTTGTTTTCATGATTATTGATCTTGTTTTAATAAGAGGTTTGTATTTATATAACCCTCCGGATTTATTAGGTGTTTATTCCCAAATTATGTTTACCGGATGCTAGAATGATTATATGGGTTGGAACAAGCTTAAGAGCTTGATATATTGTTGCCTCTCTTGAAATTCTTTTATCAAAGATTTTGTTTTGATTTATTGCTTTGAATTCATTATATTTCACTTATATGATGATATTTATATGTTTGTGCTGATGGATCATCTATTCGTGCCTTATAATGTATTCTATGAGTGGTTTGATCAAGTTATACAAAGAAAATTTTTCTTTATTGATCAAACATTGGTTTTGGACTCAAATCTTGATTTATGATTTCATTTGGTTGATTTTCATTTGAAAATATCTTGCATGATTCTCATGTTCCTTTTCTTTTGATTTCATAAATCTACTTTTATACATGGTTTTTATACTCTTTGATATGATTTTTTCATACTTATATATTTATATGTGTTCTCATTATCCTTTTGTATGTGAGTTGCTTTTAGCATCTATGCTTGCTCACATATGTTTGCCATGATCTTTATTTCATATACTCTATATGGCAATTTGATGTGGGAGCAATCCCCATATATATATATATATTTTATACTCACCTATGCTTATTGATAGGGGGAGCCTTCACTCTCTTCATTCTTGGTGTTTTCCTCTTTTTGATGTTGTCAAAGGGGGAGAAATATTGCGAGTATATTCTTTCTTGTTTTTATGCATGTGAATTATAAATTATATATTCATTTCCTTCATGCATATATCTCTTTTTGTAATTGTTTGTC